CTAACATTAATACGGGCACTACTAAACATACAGCATGAAAATATGCCTTTTAATGTGCTAACATTAACACGGGCACTGCTAAACATACAACATGAAAACATATTTTTTAATGTGCTAACATTAATACGGGCACTACTAAACATACAACATGAAAATATATGTTTTAATGTGCTAACATTAAACACATTATCCATCACTATACACACACACAAACATACACAATATTACTTATAAAAACTTTTAAATGTCAAACCCTAATCATAAAATAGGTTTAAACCCTAATCATACTTCTTGAAAAAAACTTCTTTAAAAAATTATTTTAAACTTCAAGATAATCACCTTTTAAGCACGAACTACTATATCATTATAACATGGACAGACTCAGACAGTTTATGTTTTATATTTGTTGAAATGATTTTCTGCAAGTTTTTATCAGGTGAATTAATAAATTATATTTATAAAACGTACGTATTTTTGTTATAATCTAGCTTTTGCTTTAAAAAGCTCAACCTTGTTCACATCTGATTATAAAGGAAACAAATACAGTTAGAAATATCGGGTGCTTTCGTTTTTACGGCGCCTAATCTCCATTAATGAGATAACAAACCTCTTTATTGCTCTCGTGTTATCTTACTTAGAACCCGTTTTCTGTAGGACACCGCACCGGTTTCATTTGTTACGAACGTACGAGCCTTTAGCAACAACGTCTAATGAAAGCTATTACAGATAAACCCGAGGGATAACGATCAATCACGATAAACTAGTCTACACAGTAAAACACACATTATTTTGTGAATAGAAGAATGCAAAATGTAAATAAAATGCTCTCTTTAATTGTACTTTTTTTTTATTTGTATACCTTAACTGTGATAAAAACAGCGATTAGGGAGAAAAACTCATTGAATTTATTATTTATTTTTGTATTAATCGAGAACCTGTTATCACTCACAGTTATGCATCATTGGTTATTAAAACTTTATTCTCTTAAATATCGTGTCCCCAATTACAAACAATGCTAAAATCCGGGATTTAATTCCTCAAGGTGGATAGTTCACATAAACCCCATTGTGTGGATTTACACGGATAGTTTACATAAACTCCATTGTGTAGATTTACACTATAAAAAAACCTGAATATCTTAGAGTTAAACTGATAAAGAAATTCATTATATTTCTTTATTTTCTGTTCATACAGTTATTTTAAACGAATATTCATGTTTGTTTCGTTTGTTATTCAATATCCTACAGTCTTGGCCAAAATGTTTGTAACAAATAAGATCATTATTATTAAGATGGAATACAAATATACTTAGTGTTGTCAAACTGAGAAATGTATGTCATATTAAACATCTACATATGTAATTTGTATAATGAGACAGGTTCTATGGACATCATGAATGATTTATTAGAACAGCAAACAGTTTTATCAGACACCAGTAGAAAGATGTGTAAATCAGCATTTCACCCATTACAACAAAACCTTACCAATATATATATAATGACAAATTATAACATCAAATTATTATGAATAGCGTCTATAACCATTTATTAGTTCATATTAAACATTTAGTACTTAGTTGGTACTTCTCGTACTCTAATAGCCTTCCTCAAGGTGACGTGGCATGCTGTCGATAAGGTTATTGATGTAATCCCCCGTGATTTTGTCCAAACTCAGCTACAGGCTGGGTTCTGCCCAACAGTTCTCAATGGAATTATGGCCATGCCAATATGTTAACGTCCTCCTGTGCGAGATAATCCTGTACAATACGCGCACTGTGAGCAGTGGCATTGTCATCCTGGAACACAAACCTTCCCCTAGCTTATGGCAGAAATATCGTCTCCATGTGACGCTTTTAAGGGGCACTCCTGACGTTTCCCTGGAGGATATGAATCTTACCATCAACTTAAGAAACCTGAAACAAGACTCATCTGAAAAGATGACATGTCGGAAGTGTCCTAACTGTAAGTTGGTATGTTGTCTTGCCCAAGAAACATAGTGACGACGGTAAATTTTGGTTAATATTGGTTTGCAGTTTGTTCTCCTTGCAAAATAACCTTGTTTGATCAGTCTCCTATTCATTGTTCTTCTGGATATCCTGGAATGAATGTGCTCATGTCATTCCTTCGTAAGGTGTTGTAAGACTTCTTTTGACCTTAATGTGTTAACCTGATTAAAACACAGTCATCTCGGGTAGTAATTTTTCTGAGTCCACCAGTAGACTTTCCTGGAACAACGTCTCCTGTAGTCCGATGAAGTTTCAGGATTCTGGATACAGTACAGTGGGGTACCCTACTGTTCTGGCAATGTCCGTTTGTTTCATATTATTTCTGGACAGTTGAATAATTTGACAGCCTATAACTTCTGGCACGTGACGAGGCACGCTGTACACCAAGTATAGAGAAATTGTTTGAACTAAACGTTTATCTGTTTCAAAAATATTATATTAAAAGCACACCCTTTTATACAAAATTGGTGTGTATGTGTATTTAGACGAACAAATGATCAAAACAACTTAAACAGACCAGAATAACAACATGTACATGTTTGTCCGATCATACTCTACCTTCTCCGTTACTACTTGAGCATTTACTAAATAACTACTCCATGTATGTGGACAATAACATCAATATAGAACAGTATGCAAACATTTTGTCCAAAACTGTATATTGCCAGATCATTGCACCTTTGGATGTCTCAGTCCATCAGATTCTGTTAGAGTCCCTCACTTGACCAATATATATACATTATTGACTGAAAGCAGGATAAATATAGATTCATTGTTGACTAAAAGCAGGTTCAATATAGGTACAATGTTGACTGAAAGCAGGATCAATATAGATACACTGAATAACAAGGAAATACATTTGAAAAACAAATATAATAATAATAATTGGGACTAATATTTGGTCTAGGTGTTCACAGCATCTGTTAACTTTCACGGCCAAAAGTATTCATTCAATTATTATAGATAATAAACAAATTCATTTATAGTTTAAGAAAAAAAACAACATTTAACTATAGAACTGTAATAGGAAGTTTTATTTTTGTTTTTTACAACTCTAGGCCTATTTTTTTATTTTACTATATTAATATCTTAGCCGAATTAATACTACATTTTGTTGATAAAAGAATAGTCCGTTAACTCATGGTTGCTAGTGTTGACTGTCTTCCCTCTAGTCAACCATTTCTAAATTAAGGGACGGTTCGTGAAATTAGCCCTGGAGTAGCTTTTAGTGAAATTCAACAAACAAACTTCAATGCAAAACTTACTTCACAGAGATGGTTAGTCCAAACCATTAACTGGTAAGGTTGACCTCAATTCACCTTTAGTCGCAGCAGTATAAATATAGTTGAAAAATTCATATCAATAATTTGTAGTGTTTTCACCATCATGAATTTAGTATTCGGGTTTGCTCCTTCAGGTTATAAACAGATAAAACTATTTCATCATTGAAGTTCTTGTAACATTTGAATTTGATTTCATTTTTCTAGGTTTTAAGGAGATTAACTGTTTCAAGTTTAATATTAAACCAAAGAGAGATTTATATATATATATATATATAATATGTTAAATTTTCATATATTCTTCAACTTTAAGAGCGTGTTTTTGGGCAACGTTCATATAATATCGTATTATCAGTTGGCCCCTGCAGAAGAAGGGTCCACCTTTTGAAAGTGCTTGGGTTATAGGGTTTAATTCATTCATATAATATCGTATAATATTATTCAATTATAAATTAGTTATTTTGTTTCTAATACCAACAAAGTTTTTGTCTGTGTGTGTGTGTTTGTTTGTTTTAGAGAAAAGCCACGTTGGGCTATCTGCTGTGTCCACTGCGGATAATTGAACCCCGGATTTTAGCATTGTAAGTCCATAATCTTTCAGCTGTCCCACCTGGGGACATTTTTTTTGTTCGAGTGCACTTCGAAATGATTGAAATCCGAATAAATGTCATTAACACAAGTGTTAAGTGATAGTTAAAAACGCTAGGAATAGTACGTTCTTAATTTTGTTCTGTGAAAATTCGATACTTGTTCAAAATGTATTTAACTCTAAAATTATTTTATATATTTTTCTTATTGATTTACTTTCATGGTTATCTTCGATTTTTTTTCTTACAAATTATCATTCATATGAATAATAAACTTGGCATTTTAAAATCGTGTATTATCGCTAGCTTCCCCTTATTTTTCTAGACTAACCTTGCCCAACCCTAAACATCATATCATGAAATTATTAACGTATTTGTAAGATAAAGAAACACAGTTTCATCAAAATCATTCCTAAATCTGTCGGCTTTGCAGAAGATTTTAATAAAACATTAACTGCATAATTGAAGTTACGTTACGACATATTCAAGTGAAAAAGAACTACAGTTAAAAGATAAACGTGCAACTTTTAAGAGATGTAAGAGATGAAATGGTAACGGTAACTGGTCAGTTATTAACTAAAGCGAAATTTTAGAGCACACACAATTACTCACCGAGAAAAACGTCTATTTTTCGAAGTTACATATTCTTTGCCCAAACGTGCTTTAATTACACTCCCTATTACAGCGTCATACAGATCCTAGTAAGATAATGCTGAAATGATGAAGCACTAATTATAAATATTTTATATCTTGAGAAATACTTGATAAAGATTTTTTTGTTTGTTTTTTAATTTCTCGAGGGCTAGCAGCGCTAGGCGTTCATAGTATATAAGTAGTAGACCATAGGAAAAGCAGCTAGTCAACACCACCCACCGCCAACTGTTGGGCTATTCTTTTACCAACAAAAAGTGGGATTTACCGTCACGTCACAACATCCCCACGGTTGAAAGGGCGAGAATGTTTTATGATGGGATTCGACATAGTGGCCACAAAATTGCGAGTCGAGCGCCCTACCGCCACACTATGCATTCTCTCTTTTATAGTTTCTAGAACATAAGTAACACAGTATTTTTTACCGTTAATAAATTTCCTTGAAATCATTTGTCATACATATACCAACATTTTTACCTTTACAGGGTTCACAAGGTACACCGCCGCCAAGTACTGTTAAATAGAACAGCTGGCCGGGTTGAATGGTTTGTGATGTCCAAGCTGTATTGGCTCTGTTGTCCGAACAGCATTCCTGATGTGAAATATTTGCCCCGAAAAATATCGTACAACGTCCGTTCTTGTTAACTTTAAACCAGCAGTATCCCGCTGAAACGAAATAAATAAATATATATATATATAAAACTTGTTAACTTTAAACTAAGAGCATCCCGCTGAACCGAAGTCTATATAAATATAATAGTACTGTCTGTTGTATGTCTATGTAACTACTTCTATATAAATATAACAGTACTGTCTTTTGTATGTTCATGTAACTACGTCTATACGAGTATAATAGTACTGTCTGTGTATGTCCATGTAACTACTTCTATACGAGTATAATAGTACTGTTTGTGTATGTCCATGTAACTACTTCTATATGAGTATAATAGTACTGTCTGTGTATGTCCATGTAACTACTTCTATACGAGTATAATAGTACTGTCTGTGTATGTCCATGTAACTACTTCTATACGAGTATAATAATACTGTCTGTGTATGTCCATGTAACTACTTCTATATGAGTATAATAGTACTGTCTGTGTATGTCCATGTAACTACTTCTATATGAGTATAATAGTACTGTCTGTGTATGTTCATGTAACTACTTCTATATAAATATAATGGTACTGTCTTTTGTATGTCCATGTAACTACTTCAATATAAATATAATAATACTGTCTGTTGTATGTCCATGTAACTAATACTTCGCAGGGTGTGGATGGATCTTCACTAAAATAGGTATGGATGTTCAATTAGTCCATGCGGGAGTACAGACAAATTTTCTGTTTTGCTGTTTATATGGACGTTTTTAAATTTTTCCAATTACATATAAAGGAAACAACTTTTCATGTCCTAAGAATCATGAATATACATAACTTCCGTCCATGGGACGGGTATACTATAGCTAGTAATGAATAAATAAATATATACACCTGGAAAAAAGTTAAGCACCCCCAAATATTTTTCAGGATTGCTTATTGAAAATAAGGTTTAATTTTCATGATGTTGAGCAATGTTCATAATTTCAAACATAATTAAAAGGATG